CTTTTCGTTTCTTTTTTTTTTTTTTTTTTTTTTTTTTCTCTAATAGTGCGCTTTTAATTTCTGAGGTGCTTGTGAAGTTCTGTAGGGCCTGTCAGCAATCGAAGGGAAGGTATAGTGGGAGTTTTCTTTAAAAAAAAAAAAGTTGTGATTCTGCACTACTAATGCAGATCCTTGGAAATCTGAAGCTTTCCTAAGTAAGTAGGAGAGGAGTGTTCTCTTCTTTCAAGAATATTGAACCCTTATGTCTGGGATTTTGTTGGTCTACTTTTTTTTTTTTTTTTCTTTAGAGTGGCCACTCGGCTGTTTTATTTCTTTTGTGAATTATCCTTGAAATAATTTAGTATGGAGGAAGTGTAATTTTCTTGATCTCTCTAAACATGTAGGCCCTTTAGATATTTGAACATAATTGGGTATGTTTTCTTTTGAAATCATAATGAAATACAAAGTATTGCAGTCAATATTAACGCTATCTTTTTATAGAGCTCTTTGCATAGACAGCAGTCATTAAATATCTGAATATTCTTCTTATTACTATCTTTACAACTACTAACATTCTCTAAAAGTTATCTTTGAGTAGTCGGTGTAAATCACCCACAACTTGACTGTTATAGACTATATATATACACTATGTGTTGTATAATCATATAGCGCCCTTTAGCATCAATCTTGCGTCTTACAACTTCATTGTAAGATGTTGTTTTTAAGTTTACCAGACCTTTTGCCCAAGAGTTGAGCTTGGCAGGAAGAGCATCAGAGCAAGGCGACACGCATGGCTTCATAAGCAACGTGGGTCTGTTGCTTCTCGGTTCACTGGCTCTTAGCAGTTTTTAATTTTCTTTCAAATTACTGTTTGTCTTCAGTTATTATGTGTAACAAAACAAACCCCCCAAATAATTTTACTCAAAGTTCCCAAATGCAATTTTTTTCAGGCAGAGATGAAGCATGGGAAGTCATCGCCTCCAAAGGTAAATGCCTTATAATGTGGTTAGTGTGTGAAAGCAGCAGTTTTTATGCTAAAGAATAGATGAAACCTGAAAATACGTAACAAAGTGGTGGCAAATATAAAAGTAATTCTGATTGCCATTTAAAATAAGCGAAAACTGTCTATAGGTACCTCTTAGTCTTGTCTTCAGCTAGATATTTAAAATCTTCAGTTGTTAATGATCTTAGCTATTTAACAATAGGGCACAGCAGATAAATCGGTACAATAGAGACATAATATTATAATTCTCAGAATTTATGTTGTTATGAGTGACTTACACAATAATTATTTAGAAGTGGGATCTGTAACTCATCTGTGTCATTCGTCTGCATTGGTAATTCGTGATTTCTGGATTCAGAATGGGATATATAGATAGAAATAGATATATTTATCCCCATGGGGTAAAAAGGTGACTGTAAGTTTTGATTGAGACACATGACTGTCAGATTTTTACGTATTTATTTTTTTCTCTGTCCTGAGAGGCAACTTGAGGCTGCTCTGTAGCTGTGTAAACTGAAGGGGTCTCTAATGGGCTTTAAAGCAAATGGATTGGTTTTATCAGAGTAACACTGTGGTTAAGTCTTCCTTTCAATTAAGTCTTAACAGTGGCATAATGTTGACATGTGTCACATAGTGGGTTTTTTTGTTTTGTTTTCTTTGCTAATGGGTATCTTGATTTTGGAACCTGGTCTTTCGATATGCTTTTTTTTTTTTCTCCCCTCTCCCTGCTTGCCTCTTAAGTTTTGGAAGATACTTTAAAAACTTACCTTGTGAGAACCACTAGCATTCACAAAAGCTGGCTTTTCTGATGCAGTTCTGAAAAGCCTTTTTTTTTTTTTTCTACTCTCATCTACACCAGCAAGACTACCTGCTGCAAACTTCATAGTATTCAGCAGGGGGGAAAGATAGAAATGTGAAGCAGAATCCAGAGGAAAGGGATCTGATGATTTTTTACACCCAATAAAACATGATCTGAAAGCAAAGAATATGATCTGAGAGCAAAGAACAGAGGAACTGGTTTTGTATAGTCTAGGAAAACCAAAAAAAAAGATTACAGGTTTGAAAAGAGGTACATGTTGATTTGGAAGTACTAAGGTTAAATCTTGGATTTTCTATCAATTATCTAGGAAAATGTCTGGCAGATGAGACTGTATGATTCTGTTGATGACTTCATGCTTGTCTCACCTATTGACTTCCATGACAGCAAGCTTAAAAATAGACAAGCAACCTTATGTTTGTCATCATAGCCTCTATTTTGGTCAGTTTAATCAAATACCTGTTTAAATCGTCTACACTTATCAAATACTGTTACTGTATATGCTGTAAAATAGGGAATGGCCTTTTCACATAGGAAAATCTTGTCATAGCAGAAATTATGGCAATTACTTGAAACATAGTGCAGCAGTCTCATGTTCCTTAAGTCAAATGTCAAACAAGCAGAAGTTTAAGAAAGAAAGCTTTTCAGGTGGCTAATGTTTTTTTCTGGGAGATCTGAAGACAAAGTCTGAAGAGACCTAATCCAAAAGAAGAACTGTAGCAGGTGCTCTCCATAATTCAACACAGTTTTTAGTGCCTTAAAGCCAATACTTAAAACTATCTGAAAGACCATCTATATAAACTCTTAGGTCAGTAGTATTTACTATGTTTTGTACAATATGCATAGCTTTCTAACCAGCCCAACAATAGTGACAAGTGCAATGAGAAATAAAAAGTTTTCTTTTCATCTTACAGTATGCTGAGCACTCATGATCTTCAAGAAGTGCTGATGTTTTAAAAAATGCCTTATTAGTCAGTGATTACCACTTGCTGAACTACCATGTTAGGTTTTTTGTTGTTGTTGTTGTTGTTGTTGTTTTTTTTTTTTTTCCTTTCACGTCCTTCAAAAGGAAGTCTGGTTCTGCTTGTGTCATGTTCTGCTCTTCAGGTCAAATAAGGTACATTTGGAAGGCCTGCTACTTTTTTGGACTGCACAGAAATCACAGTTTGTAGCATTCGTGAAAGTGCGTTTGCATTCTCTTAGTTTAAAGTCTTTCAGGCCCGAGTGCTTGTATTATGAAACATCATTTTCTATGCTTGTGATCTTTCAGATAGTATTGGAAGGAGGCAGGAATCTAGGAGCAACTTGTATCTTAGCTCTCCAGCCAACAAAGCTTTCAGGAAAATGTGAATTAGCAGACATCACCTGATTCAAGCCTGGAAATGGAGTTAGCAGAGTTTCACACAGCTGGGAAGAACACTTCAGTAATCGTGTACTTGGTCATTAGTGTGAGGTTGTCAGGCTTGCCTAAATGAGAAGATTGTGTTTGTATAGTTTATTCTCCCTGCCAATTACCATATTAAACACAAGTTACAAGTTTGTTTGTACTTTCTCCCTGAAGTAGCCCTTCATGTTATTGGGATGGGTTTCTTTTTGATAGCAAGAAGTTCAATTTGTTCTACACATGCTCTAATTTTACCTTCCGTTGCTTCGCTACCTGCACGCTGAACAAAGTGGTGACACACGCTAATACGTGGCCATGTTGAGCTCTAGTTTTAGGATCAGGATTGTCTTTGTAACTTCACTTAGTTTTAAGGACAAGATGCATTGGCTTTGCAGCTGTGTTTGCAAAAGATTTGTATATGTAAAATATGAATAATCAAATTTACAGCAGTAGTATCACAGACTAGTATAGCACTTCGGTAGTTTTATATATCTTACTGAAATTAGGGAGCTGTGGAAAAGTGAAATCAGTTGTAGGGTATCAGTCTACAAATAGCAGTCCTTGGAGTATATGTGATAGGCATTCCCCCCAAAAAATTCATCTGAGGAATTTTGTCACTCTTTTGTTTTTAGCAGTGATTCCTAGT